GCTCTCTAGAGGTAGCTACTTCACATTGCTTGATGATTTATGATAAAAACTGCTGTGATTTTATTTACATCTGAAAACCAGACAAAGAAAATTGCTACTGAATACTTCAGTTTTTATATGTTTGAATAATAATAAAGCTTAGTTGCTGGCATCTCTGGCAGAAAACAGAACTTCATGCTGTAGCTGCAGTCAAACTGCATCAGAATCACAGATGCTAAAATAATAGGTTTTCATCATGTTCAGGATCCAGATGCTCAACTTTATTACATTTGCTGATTATGTTTTTTTTCTATCATGGCTTATGGTTTGAACAATAAAATTTGATTGAAGAAGAAATAAATTCTGATAAGAAATCTAGCTATACTTTAGCCATGCCTTAAGAGTCTATAACCAAATTAGAGGGCTACAGTCCCTTTGAAACCATGATGAAAATGTAATCGTGACTTGACTCAAGTTCTGTAGATTTCAGCAGGAACCTGAGGCAACTAACAGAGATGATCCCTGAGGTATATTTTAAGTGTTTTGTACACTTAAAACTATGTTCGGCTTCCAAGCTGAGGTTTTATTGTTTCCTTGAATAAATATTTTTTTTGAATAAAGCATGTTTGATTTGGAAGATCTTGAGCCCTGATCCTTGCTCAGCTGTATGCAAGCTGTTTACTCCCAGGTAAGTGTGCCTTGGATTGGAGACAGAACATCAGTTTCCTGTTTATGCCTACTGATTAGGCATTTTATTAGTAAAAGATTATTTGTTGTGAAAATGGAAAATGAAAGTGCTTAAAGCCTTCCTCCTCCTCCTCTTGCTTTCCATATGATTTGACTTGGTTATCAACATTGTGGCATGTTCCCTAAACTGGTGGATTAATTCTAAAATACGAGACACATTAGATGGTTTATATTTAAAATTACAGGATTGTAGTACAAGCACTCTGAATGACAAGGACAATTATTTGTGATGCACAAAGGGGGAAAGTTGATGGCCTCATTTGGAGAATTAGGTGGGTTCTAAATAAAACCATTTTTATTTCTGCTAAAGATTTCGTTATGAACTTGAGTTACTTTTTAAATAGGTTCCCTGTATTGCTGTTTAGGGCAGGGAAGGACAATCTCTTGCCCTTCCAATGTTTTTCTGCTCCAGATCCCATTAGTCCAAGATGGCATGATAGGAGTTGTACTTGAAAGTGTTCCCTATGCCTGCTTTAGGCATTCAAGAAAGCCTGCTTATTCCTGTGCATTATGAGAAAGGAGCATGAAGGAGGATTATAGGAATGAATGCATAAAGGTTGATTAACCTGTTTTACTGCCTTTATTGAGCAGCTCCTATCATTTTAGCTCCCAGCGAGACCTGAAATATGTAACAAAGATATGTTTTACCTGGCAGAATAAATCATACAGGCCACACATGCCTGTATGTGAGTCAAAATGACTAGGTTGCAGTTTGGCTACTAAATATTTCTTAGACTGAAGTTAGATTATTATTTATATCCTACCTGAAAGATACAGATTCTTCCAAGGCTGGTTACAAATAAAACAATGCCACTACACCACAGACACACAGGCACAGTTCTGTTATTTTTGCCTGCCTACTTCATACTCTGTAGTATACAGTTCTGCACCTCTGACTTGCTTAGTGCTACTGAAAAAACATAAAGCTGTGACAAATATTGCTGAATATTATATCCATGCTTTGGGGGAAAGAAGTGAGAGATGTGTGACATGTTTCAATTTCAGAATTTTCTACAAGAACTGGAGATAAATTCTACCCTTAACAGAGGAAGTTATAAAAATAATAATAAAGACTGCATTTCAGATGGAACTGTGTTAACAAGATACTTCAGGTAAGACTATTTTTCTTTCCCAGTATCTAGATTAATAGTTGCCTATCCCATGTTTTCTAAGCTGTTTGTTCCAGAAATGTATGCATTTGGAGAGGGGCCATTCCTTGGTGACAAAGCCAGTGTGGAGAAGTGAATAGGACTAGAATAGGACTGGGACGATCTGAGTTCAAACACCTACCTGGAAGATCTTTGACCAATCACTTGCTTGTCACAGAGTTTTTGTGAATAATTAGAGAAGGAAGGAAGCCTGCTGCCTTGAGCCTATTGGAGAAAAGGAAATAAATAATAAATGATACTTGCTTTGCATTCTGATGGTTTCAGATCATCAACCCCAGCTTGAAAAAAGGTGAGATACTCAGTAATCTATAACCTCTGCCTAAGGCCCCAGAGATCCACTCAGAATAGATGATACTAGGCCAGAGGTAAAAATATTCTGCCAGATAAGTTTTTTTCCCCATGTTCCTGTGTGTGTGTGTGTGGGGGGGGGGGGGGGGGGTTGCAGTTCCACATTCTAGAACTTTTAGTTTTCCATTTATAAAGCAAACACCTTAACATGGGTCTCTCCAAACATAATCTGGAGATTGAGTCCCAGAGACATCTTGCCAGTTCAAACCTCTGTTTTGCTTTGAATGCTTGCAAAAACTAAAAGTGCTTCTATTTAAAAACAATATCAGCAAATGCAAGCTGAAGAGTAATTTCATTTGTCATGATCTAAGCTTATGTATGTATGTATAGCATAGACTTAGAGTGAGTGCCTATCATAGTGGCAGGCAGAATGATAGACTTTTGTTAATAACTAGTAATATAAATGTATTTATCTAGTTCTCCCTCCCCATAAAAACGAAGGATGTTAGAAAAGCTACTGACAGCATTATGAGTACATGTCAAAATATATTCTGTTTCTGTTGTCAGAAGAGGACTGAATCACTGGTCTCACTGCAGTACCTTTGCCTTTGTTTCCAAAATAAATTGGCACAGGAGCTGGTTTTTAAATACACATATTAACCAGGTTATCAAATCTGCATCAAATAAAAGGACTGTGAGGGATTTTTTCAATATGTAATTTATTAGTGATTGGATCGCTACTTACAGTTAATTTTCAATCAAAATCATCTTTGTTAATGACTTAATGCAGTTGCTCTTTTTTATGTCTGTTAGCTGCCAGTATTTCTGACTCACTAGCATCAGGAGTGCAAACCCAGCATGTTATTTTACCAAAGAAAGTAAAAACATTATTTTTCTTGCCTGGGGACTACAAATGCAATTATGCAAAGCAGAAATGGTAGTCTGCCTGGCATCAAGTAAAAGACATTTGGGGAAAACAATGCACAATCCTATGCATGTTTAGAGAGAAAAAGGCCTATAGCTCTCAGTATGCTTCAGCCCCTTTTCTCTCTAAATTAGCATAGGATTCTGCTGTTAGCTTTCAGGTGAGCATCCCCAGTAATACCAGTTAAACCCAGTTATAAAAATAGAAATCCAGCAGGGCCATGGAGCCTATCCAGTGTATTGCACTGAGCACCACATGTATGACTGTGAGCTGGACAGATATGGGTATATGGCTCTCAGGAAACAAGTTTGCGTCTTTGAAACCAAGCTTGCTGACCTGGGGAAGCAAAGGGAGGCTGTGAGGTTGGTTGATGAGACCCCCTTGGACAAAATTGCATGACTCCAAACTTGTGGCCGACAGTGACTCTGCTGACATGGAAAATGGGGCTCACAGGGAAGGAGGGCATCATTCTGAGGAAGAGGGAAATGATCCCTTAGAAGGGACCCATTTCTTGGAAAGTGAACATGTATCCTCTTGCTCTGAGGATGTACCTCCAGGGGTGGGAGACTTTTGTTAGTGGGAAATTTGATCATTAAATTTGGGTAAAGGGGGGCAGAGGGGGGTTATTTGTTTTTTGGCGCCAGGCTAAGACCTTTTTATTTAAAGCTTATTTTAATTGCTAAATTATTGAATTAATTAGGATTTTAAAATTAGCTGAGAATGCACGGGGGGTTTTAAAATGTTTTTTCTTTTAAATTGTTATATTACTATTATTTATGTATGTTTTTATGTATTCTTTGTGAGCCACCCCAAGGCTTTGTTGCGATGGGGGCAGCATAGAAATGTTTTAAACAAACAAACAAACATATAGATAGTTGAGTTTGTGATTGGCATGTCACAAACCCAATGTTGAGCAATGGGCAATGGTGAGTTGTCTGTCTGGGGTGAAGGTTACCCATATTGTGCACCATCTAGATAGCCTTGTAGATACTTGAAAGGGTGATGTCAGTGGTCATGGGCTATGTTGATACCAATGATACAGGGAAATGGAGTCATGAGGTCCTATAAGACAAATTTAGGTTGCTAGGTAGAAGGTTGAAATGCAAGACCACCAGGGTGGCTTTCTCTAAAATGCTACCTGCTTTACCTGCATTGAGGAGACTCAATATATGGATGAGATTGGTGGTGTAGAGATGAGGTGCTCAGATTTGTTAAGCACTAGGGAACATTTTGGGACAAGCCAGAAAAGACAGGCTCCACTTGAACCAAAATGGAACCAGACTGCTGGTGCATATCAAAAATGTGGCACAGCAGCTCTGAAACAGAACCTTGGGTGAAAGCCAACAAGTAGCTGGAAAGTATCAGGTCTGGTGTAGTTCATCCCTAGGAGAGGAAGAGGGAAAAGTTTCTTATTGCCCAAGTATAGGCATGGTGGAAATAAGCCACAAGCTTATGGTGAGACTTGATGATGAGTCTGAAAGACTTAAGTGTCAAAAGATAAGTTATACACATCTGGAGAGGGGTGGCTTGATAATCTAAAATGTACAGACTGCTCCTTTTTTAAAGGAAAGGCTAGATATAGTGGGCATTATAGAAACCTGGTGGAATACAGAGAACTAATGGGATGCATACATACATACATACATACATACATACATACATACATACATTTATACATACACACACAGAGAGAGAACTAATGGGATGCATTCATACACACACACACACACACACACACACAACTAATGGGATGCATTCATGTGTGTGTGTGTGTGTGTGTGTGAGAGAGAGAGAGAGAGAGAGAGAGAGAGAGAAGGAGGAGGAGGAGGAGGAGGAGGAGGAGGAGGAGGAGGACAGGGAAGAGTGTACTGGAGGAGGAGGTGTTCTCTATGTCAAATAGGACATAGACTTCAGCAGGCTTGATCTAAAATGTACAGACTGCTCCACAGAAGCACTGGGGGTGACAATACGTGGCTCCAAAATTATTTTAGTCATTAGAATATACTATCACCCTCCAGACCAGAATATTAAGTGATCCTGACATGGAGAATGAAATCAGGGGGACCTGAAACAAAAGCAGTGCTGTAATAATGGATGACTTCAACTACCTACACATTGACTGAATAAGAGAAGAATAGAAATGTTTTTGAGGAGCATATTGCTAACAACATCAAGGCCAACGATAAAAGGACTCTTTAAATATATCAGAAGAAAGAAACCAGCTAGAGAGGCAGTTCAACCACTGGATGAGAAGGGAATTAAAGGTGCACTAAAGGAGGATGCTGTCATGAACCAGGTGTTCCCTCCCAGCAAGACAGACTCTTCAGCATTTCTTGTAAGTGTCTTTGTTCTACAGAGAAGTCTCTAAGCATACACAAGTCTCTGAGCATACACAAAGTGAGATGTTGAACCCCCCTCTGACCCCCTTTACCCAAAGCTTTACTTATGAACCCTTTGGGGCCTGTCTCTGGGAGGAGGGGCACTGTGGAACTGGGCGAGCCTGTGTTCTGTACTGTGACAACAGGCCCTTGTGTCCTGCTCCTCAGGATGCTGATATCCTCCATCTGAGAGACTACCCATTTCCAAACGTCCCTCCAGATGTTTCTGTCATGCTCCCTCTTTCCCACAGGTGGGGAGACTGGGCCCCATGAATGTCCTTGAGCTACTTTCATCCAGAGCAGGCTCGGACTGGTATTGAGAGACTGAGTCTGCAGGTGCAGGCCTGTCCATTACAACAACAATTCCATTATCAGGGTTTGAGCTCTGAGCCTCATCTGGTTCAGCCAACTCCTCATCGCCTCAGACTCTGAGCTATCAGTCCCACCAAAATGGTCGGCTTCTCGCGCACACCTGGGAATCTTGCCAGTGTGCACACGCACAACAGGTAAGAAGATTGCAGAGAAGCTTAATGATTTTTTTTAATTTGTCTTCACAGTTGAGGATCCAGAACAGATACCGCTTCCCATACTGATATATTCAAGAATAGAGTCTGAGGATAAGACAGACAATAGTGACAAAAACAATGAAATTCTCCATCTTAAGACAAACTGACAAAATTCAGGTGACAAACTGAAAATTGATAAATCAGCTGGCCAAAATAGTATCCATTCTGGCTTTTTTAAAGAGCACAGAGCTCAAATATGAAATAGCAAACCTTCTTACCAAAATATGTAATGTGTCCCTAACATAAGCTTCTGTAAGACCTATTTTTTGAAAGCATCCAGGGGAAATCTGGGAAATTGCCAACCAGTTAGTTTAATGACTGTTCTGGGTAAATAGATTGAAAGCATGATTAACAGCATAAACAGTAAGCACACAAAAGGACAAACACTTCTGAAAAAGAATTGACATGTTTTCCTCAAAGGTAAGTCCTAAGCTTTTTTGAATTTTTTCAGAGTGTCATTAAATGTGTGAAGAGGGGCAATCCAGTAAACATTGTTTACTTGGACTTCCAAAAGATTTTCAACAATGTTCCTCACCAAAACCTCCTAAGCAAGCATAATCAACTTAATTATGGGATATAGCTGTGGGGCAGCAGGGGTTTCCTATAGATCCCTGCATTAAATCTAATTTGGCCCAAATGTTGTTTCTGGATAAATGAGAGTGCTAAAAAGTATCTCTTGCACTTTCTGGTGGGTGGAGATTCAATTCACAACAATCACAGTGTGATTCAAAATTGGTTTAGGATCAGCACAAGGGGTGTGAGGCAAATTCCCCCATTCGTTGTGTCCAGAAAGCCAGCAATATTGGCTTCAGATAAAGCAGAATTTTTAAAATCCTTGGATTGCTTCAGGTCATATAAACAAGCTCATGGTGGCAGTAAATCAGCCATGTAGGATTCTAAAACTGTTACAGTGCCACAACTTGTTACTGAGTCCCCAATGTTCTCTCTCATCAAAGACCTTTGAATTTTCAGAAGTAGAACCTTTAACATATGGTGAACAAGGTGAGGTGGTTCATCACAGTGTGCTGTGATTTGCTATCCAGAATGTCTGTGGTTGGTGCTTGACTTAATCCTGGACTAGATGTTCTGCCATGCCATTTCTCTGTGGATAGGCTGACTTTTGGAATTTAAGGTTTCCTCCTTTAAGAGAAAATAAACATATACTTCACTGTGTGCATCGGGGGGGGGGGGATTGCATCCCCTGTTGTCACTAGTAGAAAAGGCTACTGTTAGGATGTAATACTTTGTCCAGCAACAGAAATACTTCTAGGAGAGTCAGTCTTCACCAACTTGATGCTCTCCAAAAGGGTTGGACTATCAGTCATCACCCCCAGCCAGTATAGTTATTGGCTGCATTGACTGACAGTGATGGCTACTGTAGCACACTAACCCTGTCTCTCTGTCTATGTTTCCATTGCTATTGACACATGGAGAACTCCTTTCTGAAGGGAGATCCTTTTCCAGCCATGGAGACTCCTATGCTTTCCAGGGTTCCAAAGTGCTTGGAGAGCGTCTATGGATAGAGGAGGCTCTCCCTTTAAGGACATTGCCCTCTATTGTAGACAGTGTGATGAGTTGATGGGACTAAAGCTAGTATCTCTTGGTATATTTCATATATTTAGTTTGAGAGTGCTGCAATGTGTATATATTTAAAGTGATGTTTAATATAAAAGAAGCCAGGAAAATTAGTCAGGGCTAAGTCACATTAAAAGGAAAGTCAAGACCCACCTGAGTCTTGCTGAATTTGGTGGGACATCAATCTTTCTTATCACTATTAACTAGAGAGTAAGTTCCAGTGATTCCTATATTTTCTTAAGGGCATCAGGTGCCAGCTTTAGTTACATCTTACTTTTACTGGTTTTGCTAATATGCCTGTGTAACACTGTTATATTACTTCTGTTCTTCATCTCACAAGAGATGTTTGTGTTCTGATCCTTGCTGCAGATTCCGATCAATCCTGGAGACTGGTATCTGCTAGGTTTTGTTTTATTTTTCAATGAAGGAACAGCCATCTTTCTTTGTCTCATCAGCTCAGCCTGAAATCTTTTTTGCGCTAGCAGACACTGACTACTACTTTGAGCCTGCTTAATGTCTCCTGTGTTCTAGTCTAAGAACTCTGTTTTTCTTAATGTCCAGTCTGAAGAAGCTTGTTCACTATTTTGTGCCATTTTGAGTTAGTCCTAATAAATCTTTTTCTCCGTAGTGACTTTTGGATTTTTATTGGATTGTGTTCATTATTTGAAAATTAGTCCTATTTAAATCAGAATATCTTACTTTCCAGAATGTCTCCATAACAAAATGGCCAGCTCTTACTTTTCTGTCCTGGTAAGAAACACTGCCTTAACCCTGAGATTCTGTATGTGAAGGTGTGGAATCAATGACCCTCCAGCTATTTTCATCTCAGTATTTCTGACCATTGGCTATGCTGGCCAAAGCCCACTCACCTTTCTCACTTATTCCTAACAAATGACAAAGGGTCTGGCAGGAATGAAAGAGAAACAATTTACTCAGCTTTACACCTAACATAGGAACACAAGAAAGGAGTACTGCTGGACAAGACCAGAAGTCTACATCAGGGGTCCTCATACTTTTTCCAAAGGGGGGCAGTTGACAGGTGCCAGTGGTGGGCGCGGGCCACCAAAGTGGTGCCAGCGGGAAGGGCACGGGTCAGTGAGGGAGTGGGGAGCGTGTGCATGTGCGTGTATGCGAGGGGATGGTGGGGTGCATGGGGTGAGGCGCCAGCTTGTTTGTGAGAAGATCATTTTCTCTGATTGAGTCCAAAACAATCTCCCCGAGAGCAAGCTGCTGCCGGGCGTGCATGGCGAGGCACCGGCTTGCTCACGAGGATATAGTTTTCTCCAAGCTAGTCCAAAATGACCTCACGAGCAAGCCACGTGCCTGTGCACACCCAGCAAGTGCAAAACCTCTGGGGCGGGCCAATTAAATGGGCATGGTGGGCCAGATCTGGCCCGCGGGCTTTAGTTTGAGGACCCATGGCCTACATACAGCAGCATCCTGTTCCCCACAGTAGTCAGCTGGGTGACATGAGGCACCCAGAAGCACAAGAGCATCTTCTTCTTGGTCTCTGTTGATCACACATATGGGTTCGACACCTGCATGAGGCCTGTTGTTGGGAAGATTTTCCTAGCTAAACTCGTTTTGGTGGGAGCAACACACCTCCTCTTCCCCTAGTATATAAGGGTAGGGCTTCTCCCATTTTTCCAGTTCTTTTTTATCTGCCTTGGTTTCTTGCCCTAGCATTCTTTCAGTTTACCTCAGTTTTTTCAAAACTTTCTAATATTGCTGTTCAGTCTACATTCCCCTCCTTTGGCTCCTTTTTTCTCATATTCCAATCCCTCTTTCCACACACCCCCACTCCACCCCTCTCAAAAAACCCCAAGAAAAAACCCTTCTTTCTGTCAGCTTCCTCACAAACCCGTTTCCTGTTAGCTCCCCCCCTCATCTCCTTGATGGCCCTCACATTTCAGAAATGTGTCTGCTGTGGTGTACAAATGCCACGAACCATCATTGGTTATGCTTGTCTTGTTTGGGTGAAGACCAGAGAATGAACTCTTGTCTTTACCTGGCAAGCACACAAGAACCAGGCTGGGTGCCCGAAGACTGAAATGTGGAGCTGCACCTGAATGGCAGTACACTCGTTCACCACAACCACTTCTGGGCATCCAGCTTCCTCTAAGGTAGCTCATAATTATAAATATCTCCTTTCAAATCATGTCCCATTGATAGAAGCATAATGTAATATTATTAATACATAAAAACTCACCTATTAAAATAACTGTTAAACTGTTAGTTGACATCTAAATACCAAAAGAGTCAATGTGAACTGGACCTCAAGCAGGACTGAATTCCAGCGTTGGAGAGCTGTGCAAGAAAAAAGTCTCCCACTTCATAAACTCCCCCCTCACTTCATTATGGGGAGGAACATGGAGGAGGACTTCAAATGAGGACCACAGTGTCCTCACTGGGGCTTCAAATGGGGCTGGTACGTAGGGAGAAAAGCATTCCCTCAGATAACCTGGCCCCTAACTATGTAGGGCTTTATGTTTTATCATGAGCACTTTGCATTGGGCCTGGATGGCAACAGGCAGCCAGTGTAACCTGTGTAGGACCAGGACCAGCATGGTATGCTCACGAACACTGGTCCTGGCAAGCAGGCAAGCTGCCCGATTTTGAACTAGTTGCAAGGTCTGGACCATTTTCAAAGACAGCCTCATGTAAAGCCATTACAGTAATGGAAGTGGGAGGTTGCCAGTGCATGGACGCAGCTGATAAATCAGTTGGAGCTGATAACAAGTGCTCTGGAAATCGATTCCACCTGGCCATCAAGTGACAACACAGGATCCAGGAGTTCTTCAAGGCTGCCAAAATGCATTGAAAATTCCCAGTGGAACAGATGGATTCCCCACCAACATTACCTCTATCTTACCTGAATTGAGCTTCAACTTATTGTTCCCACCAACTGGGGACAGATGGAGAAGTGGCATGAAAGCAGCCAGGGGCTGTGAAGAGTGTGGCCAAGTCTATTTAGTGGTGATCTTGGCCTTCCATGGAACTCTTGAAGGTTTTTCTGTTTTCTCTTACCCTCTGCCCTGATGGTTCCTCAGAAGCGTATACAACCTCGTACTACCTATCTGCTCCATTGTGCCAATTGCAGCCTGTCAGTGAGCCTCCAAGCACTTACAAAACCTCAATTTGAGACTTTAACTACTGTGGATTTACATCTTCCCTTTTGGGAGGTCATATTCCTGGTACTGATTACATCAGTGAGGTGAGTGAATTAAATGTGTACTTTAAGCATCAACCCGCTATTCATAAGGACAAAGAAAATTTCCATCCCAATCAGTTATTCTTGCCCATAATCGTGTCACAATTCCTCCTGAACCAAGACATTGTACTACTGGCATTCTTCCAATCATTGTGAAACCCAGTAGGGACAGCACCTCACCTCATTGTACGAACAACGCTGGTGTTCTGTCAGTCCCAAACTGAGTCTTTCTAATGTTCACGAAGACTTTTCATATAATACTTGAAACTATCAAGAGGCAAACCCATCCGTACCCAGCATCTTGCATAGTGGGTCATTGAAACCATTGAACTTGCCTACCAACTGGCTAGTCTGAAACTACCAGACCAACCAGGAGCACATTTTCTAAGGGTGATCACTACATCTACAGAACATCCTGATACAAGAACTCTGCAGAGTGGCTGTATAATCTGCTCCATCAACCTTCATTCAACACTACTGGCTTGATGCCCATGCCAGACAAGACTGTACTCTCAGCAGTCCTCTGCTAACAAACCTACCCTCCTCCATTCTCAAGGTAAGCTTGCTAGTTGCCCATATGTGTGATGCACAGAGACCATGAAGAAAGTACAGTTGTTTAGCTGTAGCCAGTGTTCTTTGAGTGGTCATTTGTGCATTCACTCAACCCATCCACCATCCTTGCCCGTGTATCAACAGCATACCTGATCTTTTGTAACCCTCCTTTGCCTCTTCCTTTTTTTACAGACCCAGACTGAATGGGTACAGGTTAGGCTTCTTCCTCCCCAGTTCTGAGGCCAAAATGCCAGTCTCCTTGAACCGGGAAAATGGTGAGACCCCCAACTGTATATATTGTGGGGGGGGGGGGAGTTCCTACCAAAATGAGCATAGCTAGGAAAATCTTCTCAACAGCAGGCCCTGTGCAGGTGCAGAGCCCAGATGACCACTCAAAGAACATTGGCAACAAGTAAGCAACTTTACTTTCCAGCTCATTTGGCCATATTACTAATAGTCAAGGACATACTGCTTACAGTACTGCCTACACAATACTGGAGGTAATACATTGCCATCAAAACTAGTATTGAAAGCCTTGCCTGTGTGGATACAATCAACTCTTGATCTTACTTGTGGATGATAAGTCTAGCAATGGCTACTAGCCAGGGTGGTTATATGGTATGTTCAAGATCATATTTTCTGCTCTTTAATGAAATGAGGATTCTGTCACACTTTAAAAGTAATTAATGATGTGATTTTCAAATAGGAACACTGTGCTAGTAAGCACGAATATGTATTGATTTTTTTTTACAGTTCTTGTAGTACTGATTGTTGCTTGTAGAGGGCACCAGTGAGATTACCAAATTTCCCAATTCATATTAGAAGAATGATGGACCTGCAGATCTTTACATCCAGATGTAATATGTTATACATAAGTAGCTTCATACCTCAATGGAAAGGTTAAAGCAAGCAAGTTATTAACATGCCTAAATATTTGCAACACCTTTGACCAAGACAGAGTTGTTAATAATGTAGGGATTTGCTTTAGAACCAAGATCAAGATTTTTGCTCACGAACAGAGCTTTATTTAAATAATCACAGAAGATGAAACCCATTATGAATGCAAATGAATATGACAAGTAATGAGTAAAATTCAAGTTGCATTTAAATCAACTGTAAATGTCCCTGGATTGTTTTATTCCATCCGAGGCTACAAATAGATGGAAAACCTGCACAAACACCAGAAGTCTTGAGCATTCAAGTTTAAGAGCAATTATTTCCTCTGGTAAGATTCTGTATGAAGCCACATTGACATGGAAGATGCTCAGAAGCCATATTTGGTAGACCACACTTTGACTATACACATTGTGCAAGATTATTTCAGATGGGGTAATTAAAGTATAAGCGAAATACAGAGACAGGACAGCAACACACAGGTATTTCACTGGGTTTTATCCATAAACTAAGTTGTTTCATTAAGAAGCACAAAATTGGTGTTTCTAAAATTTCAGTCACATGCAGTACAATTCTATGTTCACTTACTGCATGCTAAGATTGTATGACCAGAGCCCATAACCTCATTAAGTTTGAGCTTCAAATTCTATTTTGGAAACACTTTAAGGGACCACATCTCAATGTGAGCAGGGCCAAAGATGAGAGAATAGGACCAAAATGCCAAAAATTAAACAAAAACAAATGTTAGCTTAATGCTTTTACTGCCAACAAATAAGCCCTTGGAGAAGCATTTCTACTTTTTGGAATGAGGGGGAAACTACAAGATTCAGGAAACCAGCAAAGGACGTGGTTGGCGTAAGGGGAGAAGGGCCCGGGAAAGGGGGCATGGCCTTTGGAAGACCTCCAGAATTGGTTGTCAGGCCTGACGTTCTGTCCCCTTGGTGTACAGGATTGCTTCCTTAAGCATTTT